CGGGGGGGGGGAGCGGTCAGACTCCTGGCGGCCGGCATTCAGCGGCTCAGCCAGCTGCCCTGCCCAGCTCTGTCACCCCAAAGCCTCGTCGCTGGTCGGGGGGCGGGGGGGCTGCTGGAGAGCCTTTGCCGTTGGCATGGGGCGGTCCTTCTCATTCTCCGGCAGAGCTCCGTAGCCCCTGTGCTGCAGAACCCCTTTGCAGAGGATTGGAGGGACCTCCGCAAGCAGCAGCCGTCCAGCCCTGCTCTCAAACGGGTACATTTTGGGGGCAATGCAGAGACACCGCCTGTGAGTGGGCATGAAGGGTTTCTCTTCCCTCCCTCCCTCCCCCCCCGTCTTGTCGGTTTCCTTTGGAGCCAGGGTGGGGTCGTGGCTTGACCATTGAACTAGGATCGGGGAAGCCCCGGTTCAGAGTACTCCTCAGGCCATCAAGCACGGTTGTGTGTGTGTGTGAGGGTCTTTCTTTTCTCTGCCTGACCTACTTCCTCTGGTGGTTAGGCAAGCGAAAAGGAGAAGGCAGGAGACCCACGTCCTCCATCTTCAGGGCTTTGGAGGAAAGGCAGGGTAGAAATAGAATGGATCGAATCAATAAAGAGCAGCCAGAGTCTGGATGGTGTCTCTCCGTCACTTCCTGTGGCTAATTGTGACGAATTGGCAACATACCAGAATAGATCTTAGTTGCGCAATCCGCCACATGACCGGGCCTGGGACGGCTGGACGTGCCAGCACCTTGTCAACCAGCTGCAATTAGCTGCAGCGAGTTGTGCAAACCTTCTGGCCCGCCTCCATGAATTGAAATGGGTGGGATTGTAATTCCTGCGGGTCTGCTGTCACTGTGCCAAAGCCTCAAGCCAGCCCCTTGGTTTTCAACCACGGTGTTGTCTCCGTCTTTTGACTGCAAACATCGGAGGCCAGACCGTTGGAGGAAAATCGCCTCGTGGCCTAGTTCAGCCTACCGTTGCAGCCTGATCCTTTCCCTTCCCGCAACTTAAATTATTCATTTGTGATATTTTCATTATTTACAAAGGAGAAGGAACCATCCTTATAACACACAGTCTTACAAACCATCTGTCGCGCGTATAACAAATACCGCTATGTATTGTCAACTTTGTTCTGTGATTAATATCATCCTTAACCAATTCAAACTAGTTTAATAATGAAATGGTCCCAAAGAAATAATAACGATGTACCCAGAGCTTTTCCCCCACCTTTCTTCCCCCCGCCATAATTACAGGGTGTTTTGAGCGTCAGGATCCAAAATCCACGTATTCAAGCTCTGGGTTTTCTCCTGCGTTGGCCTCTGTCCTTTGAACAAACATCAAAATTGACTCAACCTCTCTATAAATCGATTGTCTCACGGCCTCCCTTCTCTTGATCTGACCAGTTAGTTCACTTATTTAGGTGCTGTCCAAGATTCTCGGACATCGTGTATCCATAGACATTTTTTTTCCTCCTGTGTGTAACTGAAATGATTGGTGTGCATGCCGGTTGATCTCGTACCATTTGTTTCTGCTCTTGAGAGACCTGCGGCTTCTGAGATACTTTTAACTGTGTACGTGTGTGAAGAAAACCTTTTAAGATCCTTAACGGATGAATCAGATACGCTCCTGAATGTCTTCTTGGCCATCGCTGTGGACAACCTGGCCAACGCACAAGAACTGACCAAGGTGATGGGGGGGGGGAGAGAGTGTGAAGCGTTCCATTAGCTTTTGGTAGTTTCCTTTATGTTTCTTGAATGCGCCGCCCGTTCCTTTTTCGTTTCTCTCCTTCCTTCCCCCCCTTCCTTTCCCATAATTCCCCATTCTGAGAGTCCTACCTGACTTCACACACACACACACACAGACACCTGGGCAAAATGCTTGGCCTGGCTCAGCCAAGCTCCAAGGCCTCATCCATGCCTTTCCTCCCAGGTGAGCCACCCTGAGGTGGCCGTGCATTGTCTGTCGGTCAGGGAGAACTCCGGAGAATGGCATCCGTACTCCAAGGATTCTGAAATCCCCATAGTTGTTCATGACAAGAGATGGACCGTGAATAAGGAAGGGTGTGGAGCAACAGGCGGACTGTAGGATCACAACTGGTGATCCGGTGGTTAATTTCGAAACGTGGGTGTGCATCATGACAGTTTACACAACCACATTCTCAAAGGCACTTAACGGAAAACCCACCAACCCTCCTTGGGTTGATTTGTGACGACGGGCCAATTGCAGGAGTTGTCCTCTGTGCCGAGGCCTGGTCTTTTGCCAGGTTGATGGCTCCTGATTCCCTCTTTGTGACCAAGACCCCCTCAAAATAATTTTGACTGCTGCAAGGATAGCTAATCTGTTGTTGTTGGGAATATCCCTTCCATCGGTGATTACAAGGGTTTCACCCAAGCTTAGAAAGATCAGAAAAACCTGACAAATCGAGTTGTTTGTTTGTTTGTTTGCTTGCTTATCTATTTAAGATATTTTATCCTGCTTTTCTTTTTAAAAAAGGACCGAAGGCAGCTAAACATCCCTGGTGATCGAAAAGCCTGGCTGCGCTTCCTCTCTGGAAGACCTGCCTCCTTTACCCAAAGCCGGTTTGCCCAGGCCCTAACATTTCTTCTTAGGGCCCCACGTTCTCTCCCGCATCCTTTGCACCTGAAAAGTTTAGAGAAAAGGGCGGGGTGGGGGTGGAGGGAGGAATACAAAGTGCCCATCTTTCTGGATAAGAGGGTCTTCCTCCCGCCCGAATCTCCACACGCAGAGCCGGCAGGTGTCCTCCTCTGGCCACGGTCCTGGGCAAGCGTCCAGGCTTGGACCTGCCTTGCACCTCGCCAAGTCTTCTTGAGCAACGGCGTTGGGAGAGGGCAAATGTTGTTCCACCCGCAGTTTCCTCCTGCCCTAAATTATGCCCGTGGCTGGCTTCCTGTTTATGAGTCTTACGAGAGGTCGCTGTCAGCCACGTTTTAGCATCTCCCCGCGGAAGCCAGGCAGAAGGAGAGGGTGCGGAGAGGAGGCCCGGCTCCTCCTTCCACCCTTCGGGTTTCTCCTTGCAAATATTTCAGAAGCCAGCAGGCCGCCCCGTTAACTTCGTTGGTGTTTGCAACGGCGGGCGATCCCTTATGGATAGGTCCGAAAGCAGAGATCAATCCCCCGCCTTCCTTTCAAAGGCTCTCTCTCTTTCATTGAGGCCACGGATCCAAAAATCGCTCTTGCTTCTCTCAAGAGGCCGAGGGGGGGGGCAGGGAGGCTCGATGCCCTGGCGTACCTGGCAGAGGCGAGAGGCTGATGACTGAGTAAAGATGAGGGCACGTCCCGCACAAACGCGCACCTCCCGCAGTCACGAGGGCCTGTCGTTGCACTTCTCATGGCGTTGGTTTCCTTCAAAAGAGAGAACCTGAGACATCCTGTTGCCCGAGGTGAACAGCAAATGGTATTCTGAGAAAGCCCCCCTCCCCCTCCCCCCCCAATTCTTTCAGAACAAGGTGTGTAAAACCTGAGCCTGGTTCATTGATTTCATCACAGAAGGTAGAAAACCTCCATTCAACGAACCCTATAACCGTGACATGGGTCACTCGGGACCTGCAGGTCTTGGGAAAGCCCGTTCTTTGCTTCCCAGAAGCCTCCAGTACGGCCAGTCAAAATGCACCCAGGCGCCCCCTCACCCCTGGCCCGGCTCGGCTTTTCCTGACACGCGGCGTCTTCTGTTGAGGACGCCCGGCGGCCTCCCTCTCCCCAAAGGTAGGGCTGGCCAGAAACATGTTCAAAGCGAATTGAGATCAGAAGTGTCGGCAGTGGCCGCAGGCAGCGGCTGGAGGCCAGCAAGGAGCAGAACCCGGACAGCGCCCTGTTCCGTTTCTTTGTGCATTTATGCTTGGGTTTATTGGGTGATTGGGCAAACTTTCCTAAAAGCTGAACATAAAAATGCCACGGATGGTAGACTGCATAAAACTTAAATAAGAAAAGGCAAACGGGGATTGTTCTGAAAAGTCACCCTAGTAAAGCCAAACACCGACATACCTGGATCTCGCGTCTGGGAAAGTTATTAAACCTCTTCAGAGCCTGACTGACCTTACCAGAAAGAGAGGCAGACAAGGTGTGTGTGTGTGTGGGGGAATTGGGCCCTCGAATTCCCATGGATTACGATCCACCGCAGGGGAGACATCACGTATTTCTTGGCCATGTCCTGGAAAGATGTTCTCTCTTTTTTTTTTGGTGCTTGAGGGACAGCCTTTCTCTGGTCTGGCTGGTCTGGGGAGCTGCAGTGCCATCTGGAGTCATTGTGTAGGTGGTGCTGAGCACCCCACCCGGGTTGATCGCTCCTCCTGTGTGCCCAGGAGGACAGGAGGCTGAGGAATTAAGGCCATCTGATGAGATCCAGTTCTTGTAAAACAGGTGGGGATCTGGGCCCATCCAGACCTCGCTCGCACCAGTTCTCACGAGCTGCCCCAGCCTGCTCGCGGTGATCGTGGGTAGGGTCATTCGTCAGCAGAAGACAGCGCTGGATAGAGTTCCAGGCTCGGCTAGGACTTGGAGACCGAGTTCCAAATCTCTCTTCAGCCATAGAAACTCACTGCCTGGAAATGGTAAAACGCTCCCTGAACATCTCACAGACTTTGAAACTCATGAGCTCGCCATAAGTTGGAAGCGACTCAGTAGGCGGAGTGCTGCATATCCCCAGGCGCAGCTTCCACATGACGGCTGCCCCTCAACCCGAGAGGGTCAGAAGCTTCTCCTTCTGGCTTTCCCCCTGCAAGTCAGCGGCTCCCAACCCTAGCCCTCCAGATGATCTTGGACTACAACTCCCAGGAATCCTGGCCAGCGCAGCTCGTGGTGAAGGCTTCTGGGAGTTGTAGTCCAAGAACATCTGGGGACCAATGGTTGGAAGCTACTGCTCTGGGGAATATCGTGTTTCCCCAAAAATAAGACAGGGTCTCATATTAATTTTTGCTCCAAAAATATATATTGGGGCTTATTTTCAGGACATGTTTTATTTTACAGTCCTGTCATCGTCTTCTGGTTGCTGCACAAGGGTGGAGGGCAGGGTTTCACTTAACTGGGACTTATTTTGGGGGTAGAGCTTACATGACGATCATCCTGAAAAACCGTACTAGGGCTTGATTTCAGGTTAGGTCTTATTTTCGGGGAAAGAGGGTATGCAGGGCATGAGAAGAGAGGCCGTTTCTGAACATCTGAACTAGCCCCTTGTTTAATAGCACATTGATAAATGAGCTGGAAGTTGGCAGCTGTGAAATATTGACTTTGTGTAATGGTTAAATGAGCCGTTGTTCATTTAGTTTGGCATGGATTCCTCGTTGATGAACCACAGCAAAGATTCACTCATTAGATACCTGCTAGTCCATTGGTAGAGAGAAAGCAGCCTTTGTTTTCAGAACTCAGTGAGGGAGAAATGTTGTCATATAGGCAGTGTAGTCTTTCTGGTGTCATCGCAGCGACCAACGTGAATTTGACCCAACTCCGGGAGGCCGTGGAAGACAGGAGGGCCTGGCGTGCTCTGGTCCATGGGGTCACGAGGAGTCGGACACGACTGAACGACTAAACAACAACAGCAAAAGTCTTTCTAGGGAGTAAAATGGAAGAACCGACACAAGCTGTGATGGGAACCTCACGTCATTCACATCATGTTTCTGAACCTTGCCTGGCTTGCCACGTTTGATGGATTGATGGATTGATTGAGACACATTTGCAGTTGGCTTCTTTTCTGCCCTTAGCGTTTGGTGCTTTGTGAGTAGACCTGTCGCCCTTTACAGTAGCCGTGAATGCAGACGTTGGGATTTGTGTGTGTGTGTGTTTTGCTTTGTTTTTTAAAAAAGGTTTGTTGAGAGTGGTCTCATAGCGAGTGCCGTTCATCTCGCCCCACCTGGTCGCCACCTACGCCTCTCTGGGGTTTCTCCAAGCATGTTTGTTCCGGACCTTCTTTAGAGATGCTGGACTTGAACCAGGGACCTTGGGGGAGGGCAAAGCAGGCCTTCCTCTTGCCACTGAGCTGTGGCTGGCCTTCCCTGGTGGGCTCCCATCGAAGCCCTAACCGGCCTGGGTCTGCTTCGCTTCAAAATGCAGACCAGGTGGTCTGTTCTCAAAGCGGTGTGATGGTGAGTGCGCAACACCCTGGTTGACCCTTCTGGCCAAGCTCCCCTGGGTGTCCTAGATGGAGTGCACTCAGAAGTGGCTGATTCCTTCCTTCCTTCCTTCCTTCCTTCCTTCCTTCCTCCCTCCCTCCCTCCCTCCCTCCCTCCCTATCTACCTACCTACCTACCTACCTACCTACCACCCATCTAACAAATGACTGCTCTGGGTCGTTTACAACATAAACTTTATATAAAATATGGATTATATATAAAATTAATTACTGCAAACTAACTTCTTCATTACAATTAGCAAGACCGGCAGCAGAATAAATGTTGCTCGGTACGGTGTATGTCCCTCCTTCTTCCTCTTCTTCCCAAGTTAATTGGAGAGACCCTTTCCAAAACCATCTTTAAAAAACCTGGGTTTTGAGGTGTTTTTTAAGGGCCAGAAGGGAGGGCATCTGACATAAATTCTACGCACCGCATTTCATTAGCAAAGACCTAAACTGTTTACAGATTTATATGTTAGAACCACAATTTTAAATCGGGTGCAGAAGCAAACCAGTGAACAGTGCAGGCAGGCCAGAGTCGGGGTGATGTGACTGGATTTCCTCCCCCCAGCCATCCGTCTGGCCTCTGCATTTGGGACCTTTGGAAGGTTCTGCATCGGCCTTAAGGGAAGCCCCACATAGGGTGCATTGCAGAGGTCAAGCTTGGAGACTCCCCGTTCTTTGGAGGTCTGCAGTGGGACCGGGCTGGCTGCCCCAAGCGACGCGGGCTGGCTTTTCCCACAGCAGGCAGGGTGAGGAATTGAACTCCCTCCTCAGCCTCTGCTCTGCAGACAGAGCTCCAGACTCGCTGAACGTGGCAGCCAGCTGGTCTGCCTCTTAATGTGCCTCGAAACACTTCCGGGCCAGTCCTTCCGGTTGGTAGAGGGAGGCAGGCGGTCAGCTGTGCATATCATGAAGAGCCGGAAATGATTCGCTGAAAGATGTACTTTTACCATCAGGATAGCAAGGTGGGGCTTCCTGTCGCCTATGTCAGTATAGGGGGACACACACACACACACCCATATCTATGGAAGCAGTCCACTAATTCACTTATCCACAGTCAGAAAATACTGAAAATATTAAAAGAGAAATTAATTATAAAATGATGACGTTCCTTGAGCTGGCCACTAGAGGGAGGCCGGGACAGTGGCATGTATGGAGCTTGCTAGAGAAATGGATTTCCACCCTGCCCTTTCCAGAACGGGCCACTAGAGGGGGCCAGAGACCCTGCTTTGTATAGTGTTGAACTATTATCATAGTGTGCCACGTTTTTCAGCATCCACGGGGTGGGGTCCTGCTGTAGAACTTGGATGCCCTCAAGTACTCTGGGCTCAGACCTGGGTGGGCAGCGACACCCTCGGCTGTTCCAGTTTGGAGACCCAAAGGCCTCGGGCTGGCCTCGGTCGGCTGTAATTCCGTTGCCGCGTTCAGAAGACCGTTTTGCTCTTACGCTTCTTGTCTTGCCCAACAGGACGAAGAGGAGATGGAGGAGGCCACCAACCAGAAGCTGGCCCTGCAGAAGGCCAAGGAGGTGGCGGATGTCAGCCCCCTGTCGGCCGCTAACATTTCCATTGCCGCGTAAGGGTTCATTTTATTATTTAAGAAATGGGGTCCCGGATTCATGTGCCTGCCACAACCATGCCGGGCGAGTGTTCGATAGATGTCTTCCCTACCTCCACACCGCAAGACAAGCAGAGCTCAGAGGGTTACATTCCCCCCCAAAATGGGAACTTCTTGCATTGCTTCTTATTCTGATCTGGTCACGTGCCTGTTGTCGTGGTCGTTACCCCCATTCACTACAGCAGGTCTTTGTGCTCTGCATTATTAACAAGGGCTGGGTAGCTCAGTGGTTTAAGGCCTCTGGTTGCGGAGCCGGAGGTTGGGAGTTTGATTCCCCCCACGGGTCCTCCTTGGCAGGGGGTGCTGGACCCGATGCTTCCAAGGGTCTTCTGCAGTTCTGAGTTCATTATGATTATTATTTGATTATTTAGCAAGTTGTAGCGTCACCAGCCACAACGGAAATATTCAGGGAAATCTTTGGGGTCCCTCTAGTGGCAGATCCTGTTACTGTGCTGTGAAAATCCGTGCCAAAACAAACCAAGGATGGTGCAAAAACAGTGGTTCCCTAGATCGCCTAGGACTGATAACGGAAGGGTATGAAGTTTGGAACTTTTCTCCCAAAAGGCCCTTCCAAAGTAACTTTCGGGAGACAGCCTTTCTCCTTCTGCCAATAGAGTGAACTTTGTTCCAACCCATCATGCGGCTTTTAGAATGTAACTTCATTACACCCTCATTACTTTAAAAAGATTAACCAGTTACAATGGTGTTCCTTGTGAATTGTTGCTTCCAAGGTTGCTGTGCATAGAATAGAATAGCCATCTCTCAGTCTCGAGAGATGATGATAGCGTGCTCTGCATGGAGGACTTGGAACAGCGTCTTGTGTGGTTGAGAAGGCCAATTAAGAGAGTGACAGTCCCTTCCACCCTGAAGACAAATCCAATCTGTCCCCTGTCCAGCTCCCTGCTTTTGCTGCTTTTGTGAATTCTCCTTTGCCTCGGCCTGCTGGATAAGGGTCTCTTCAAATTGGGAGAGGCCGTGATGTACCGCCTGCCTCCAGGCTGAACGCTCAGAGATCAAGGTTTCCCATCTGTTCAGGTCCATTCCTAAGACCTTCAGATCCCACTTGCAGATCTCCTTGTATCACAGTAGTGGCCTCCCTCTGGGGCGACTTCCCTGCACTAATTCTCCATACAGGAGATCTTTTGGAATCCGACCATCAACCATTCTTACAACATGCCCAACCCAAGTCGCTGTTTCAGTAATGTATACATGCTGTGCAAGGCGACACCCATTCCATTGCACATTTCAGTGCGTTTCAGTGAAGTAATAAAAGTCCAGAGGCGTGAGCACACGCTGTGACGGGGCCTCCATTCAGGGTCTCCCGTGGGAGGAGTCAACATGGCCGAGCTAGCCAGTGCCGGTCGCTGTTTCAGTAATGTATGCATGCTGTGCAAGACAACACCCATTCCATTGCACATTTCGGTGCATTTCAGTGAAGTAATAAAAGTCCAGAGGAGTGAGCACACGCTGTGACGGGGCCCCCATTCAGGGTCTCCCATGGGAGGAGCCAACATGGCTGAGCTAGCCAGTGCCAAGGTTTCAGGCGACGTCTCACCCTATACGGTCTCCTGTTCGCAGGCACAGACGTCTCTCGCACCTTGTGTAGCGGCACCTCTGTGTAGTCGGGCGGGTGGCTTTGTAGTGGGATCTCGGATCCAGGCTGCCCCCCCCTTTAAGCTGACATCTACCTCAAGTGGTAAATTCTGGAGAGGGTACCACCATCATCACTGCTGCCACTTCTCTTGGATTAACCCCCCCCAGTGCCCAGGCATGATCCTCTTTCTGGGCTAGTGATCAAGGGCTAGGCTTAGTTTGTGCCCAGTAGGAGTAGACCCACTGAATCCATGGGACTGAAGTGTTGGCTTAAGAAGAAGCCACACTTATTCATTTGGCCTGCCTTTGTTTGGAAGAAGAAGCCACACTTATTCATTTGGCCTACCTTTGTTGGGACTAGAGATGGGGGGGTATTTGTATACGAATATCCCCGCACTGGTGGCGTTCATGAGGGTCCAGCTGCCAGGTCGAAGTGTGGGTCCAGCCCCATGGGGCTGGACGATCCTCTCACCGATCCGCTGCGAATGTCAAACCTCGCTGCTAGGTTGTAGTGTGGCGAGCGGATCGTTCACTGCAGAGCCATTAGTAAAATTGCACCGTCCGCGGTGGACTGTCTGGCCTCATAAGGCTGGACCCTCGTTAACACCGCCTGTGCAGAGATATTCGTATTCGTATATGAATACCCCCATCGTTGGGACTCATCCGTTGTATGAGTCACCCCTACGGATGATGATGATAGCCTGTATTAGCCTGAACTGGGTGGCTGTCTCACCTGGCTTCTTTCTCCCAATGTTGCTTTTGGGAGACGCCACCAAGCAAGCAGTCTGGCCTAAGGGCCCCCGCACCAGGTGGCACCCTTCCAGCAGGCCTCTCTCAGAGGCTCGCGTTGGTCTGCGCACCCGATACACCCTAGCCTAGCGCCGTGGCACTGCAGCGCTTGTTTCAGTTGGTAGCACGCACCCATCTGGTGGATTGAGGGGCAGAAACAAGGAGTAGCATGAACCCGGGGGCCTGCCCTAGTCCCCTAACCTGGTCTGCTGCTGCACCCCCAAGTTGGGGGGTGCTATTCCCTTGCCCTCATGGCCTATTCCCCCCCCCCACTTGACTCACATAAGAAAGGTAAAACTGTCCCCTCACCAGCAGAGAAGCAAGATTCAGCTGCTGCTCCACTGAGCTTCTGTCCCTGTGATAGAGGTGGGAGCAGAATCAGCTTGTCTTGGACAGCCCTGGTTCCAAAGATGGACAGAGAGAGAGAGAGAGAGAGAGAGAGAGAGAGAGACGCACACAGAGGAGATCCACAAGAATTGTGAGCATCTCTTCTTGAAACTCAGAATTTCAATGTCCTCATTTCTTGCCTCTAAGCAGGTTATGCGCTGAAGTCACTAGACTGTCCTGTGACCCGAGAAGGCACAGAAAGTCATGGGGACCTCTTGCTTCAGCTTGTTACTTCTAGTCTTCGCCTGACACTACGCAGATGGCGACCATTTCCAACCAAATTGTGCATCACCATTTCCAAGAAAGGAAAGACCAGCCCGATTAGACAGTGACCCCTGTTTCTGTTCACTGCTCGTGGCTTCCATAAAAGCGACAAAAGAGGAACGATTAATTAATCAGTATTTATAGATGGTGTAGGAGATTTCAAACTGCTGACAGTCCCAACAAGAACAGACTCATCGAATCAACTGCGTTTATATTAGGGTTGGCTTTGCCATTCAACAGTTTACTCAGTGGGTCTACTCTAACTGGAACTAGGAATTTGCATTTATGCCCTAGGACGCCTGTGGCCCATTCAATAGAGGGTCAGTGGGGTTACCCAGAGAAAACCTGCACAAATAGCTTCGTTTCCAGCATGTTTAGCAAACCAATGTTTTCTTTCTTACCAAGTAGTAACATTCCCAGGATTTTCTAAATCCAGTTTCCAGAAGTGAATTACATGATTAAGCAGCGCTCCATCACAATACTAAGAGGATTAGACATCTACAGATCTAAGCTCCTTAGACCGCAGCCTTCCAGTTACTCGTTCGGAAGACGTTAGAGCGCCTTCTTGATTGATTGCCTTGACTAAACGGGTACACCAAATTGGCGCATGTGGAAAAGCTGGACCTAGGTGCTTGTTTGGGGGACCCTGAAGGATCATAGTCTCGCTACATCCATCACGACTTTGTGTGGGTACTGTTATTAACAATTGACACGTCATGGGTCTAAATCCATCTGGTGGGGGTTGTGCCCAAAAGTCCTCCCCCAGGGGCTGGCCTGCCTGTAGGCAGCGAGGCGGAGGCGGAGTGAATTGCCACGTCTTCCCTCTTGCCTAGGACCTCTGTGGACAACCTCAGGGAGGCAACCTGGCCAGCCGGTGCCTTCCAGCACACGTGTAACATCCCTTTGTGTCGGTCTGCCAATAAGATGCATACTGGCACTGTGGCATTGTCGTGCGCACCTGGAGGGCCTTCTTTCCCTCTGAGCCCGAGGAGCCGCCGATTTGAGCAACATTCAGGGCTCACCTTCATACCCCAAGATTCCCCCCGCCCCTCTGCTGCCTTTACTGGACAGGTGAGGGGACGGTGGACAGGCCCCGGGGTGCCCGCTGGAGTCTCAGGGAAGTGCTGTGCCCTCCGGAGACCCATCCCAGGGCAAGCCGGGTGGGAGCAGCAGAAAGTTTAGCTTTTGTGTGTCAGGTAGCTTTGAATCTGGACAGACTTTCCTGCCCCTTTCCCAGCTGGCGCCTGGGAGTCCCAGGTGGGTCTGCCTGTGGCTGAACATGGTGTGGGGACTCCAGCAGGTGCACCCGCCCATTCTCTCTGTTCTCTTCCTTTGACCCCCCTGGCTTTTTGGCTCACCATCGCTGAGCCCCTTGTACCCGTGGAAGCGAGACATGGAGCGGAGCCCCATCACTGCAACGTGTCGAACCGTCTCATTGCCCAAGCCGTGACGACAGGGGCCCAAAGCACCGTGGGGGGGGGGGAAGCTTCCCGCTCGGCTTGCTGGTGTTTTACTGAAAAGGAACATCCAGTGGTGTCCCCACCGCCACCAGCACCACCACCTTGGGTCCTTGGATGTGCTTGAACTCCCAGAAGCCTCCACCCCTGACCGTGCTTGACCAGGATTTTTGGGAGTTGTAGTTCGAGAACCTTTGGGGACCCAAGGTTGGAAACCTCTGATCGAGGAGACGTCTGGGTGTTTTGAAGCAGCCTCTTGAAGCAATGCAAACTTCTCGACCGAAAATAATACCCTTTGAACCATTTTCTCCGCTTCAGAACTTTTCGAGGAGGGAAAATGGGCATTTTTTGCACAGAAGTGTGTGTGGTGTCCCCAAAGCCTTTAATTTTCACGCAGAACAGCTTGCGTTTTGCACTTGGAAACCACCTCGTATTGGTGAGAAAACCTGAGCATGTCTCACGTCCTTCACAGCGGAAGAAGCCCTGGAAGGATCGGCTGAGGGGGGATCTCAAAAGACACTTGATCCAACTGGTTCAGGGGGAAAAAGGAAAGCTGCTCTCCAGTTTTTTTTTTTTAATTTCGGCTGCTACCGGTGGGAACTTCTCTTCACTCAAGATTTGTCTGCCTTGAAGGCTCTTGAGAAAAAGCCAAAAAGTTAATTGTCAGTAAAAAAAATGTCAAAGTAGAAGTAAAAAATGATTGCAGAGTTGCTTATGGGATCTACTTGGGTTGATTTCTATGTGTGTTTTATTGCTAATACCCCTAAGGTCTACCAATCAGCGCCTGGTGCAAAAGGCACACAACAAGAATTTTTTTAAAAATCCCAGCCCCTGGAAGACCCAACCTGAGCGGAGAGCCAGCCGCCCCCCTCCAAAATCCGCTCTGGCTCCCCCCCCTTCTTTTTTCTTGGCAGTGTTTTGCCCTTGCTTATGGGATCTACTTGGGTTGATTTCTATGTGTGTTTTATTGCTAATACCCCTAAGGTCTACCAATCAGCGCCTGGTGCAAAAGGCACACAACAAGAATTAAAAAAAAAAATCCCAGCCCCTGGAAGACCCAGCCTGAGCGGAGAGCCAGCCGTCCCCCTCCAAAATCCGCTCTGGCTCCCCCCCTTCTTTTTTTCCCCCTTGCCAGTGTTTTGCCATAAAAGGCATGAGGCACTGTGCACCTCCTGTTCTGGGTAAATGAGTGGGAGTCAGGAATCCCGTCGGGTCTAGTGAGAATCACTGAGGCATCTACTCAAGAGATCAAGGGGTGGCCAACCCGGAGAGGTTCTCAGGGGAGCGGCAGCGTTCAGCAGCACAGGGGGCCAAAAATGCCGAAAATAACGGCAGCACCAGCCGCAGTGACAATAAACACAGAAAATAAAATCTGAATCGGATGGAACGTCCACTTTTGGAAAAATGGGGAATGCATGTGAACTATTGTAATTCACACACCCCACACACAGCCTTTCTTTTTGGGGGGGGATGTCCTTCAGGATGGAAAGCGGGAAGGCCCCAGGATGCAGAGCCCATAGGTGGTCCCACGGACACACCGGCTGTTCAAGGGTTTGTTTTTCTTGCTGTGTTCTTGAAATGTGCCTTTGGTTCACTTGCTTGTTTTATGTGACCTGTTAACCCCCAGCTACCGGGTTTGGCTTGGGTTTGTTTTCCTCGCTGTGTTCTTGAAATGTGCCTTCGGTTCACTTGCTTGTTTTATGTGACCTGTGAACCAAGGTGTTGTATATAAACCTTCTTTTTGACCATTGTTAGGCACCATTGGTTTGGTTTTGGTGGAAAAGGTAGGATATAAATTCAGCAATACACCTTGGCAAAAAGAAGGCAAAGTCCTGTAATTCTGTGAGGTTTGGATCGTGGCAACCAAGATCCAAACATGTTCAGCCATGCTGGGGCCAAGTAGGACCTTCCCAGGTGTCGATGGATGGCCCCTGCCCCATGGGCTTCGTTGGGGAGAGCTGCTGGAACCTGCAGTTGTCATTCCCTGTCCCCCCCCCCCAGCTATCTCTTCTGAGCTAAGCCTCTTCTGGGCTAAGCAATGCGTTGTTGAGCGCAAAGTATAACGATACTTTGCAGAGGCATCCGTTGATGTTCTGTGTTTGCATATAGAGAAGTCGGATCAATGGAAGCGTTCCAGTGCTGGGGCCAAGTAGGACCTTCCCAGGTGTCGATGGATGGCCCCTGCCCCATGGGCTTCGTTGGGGAGAGCTGCTGGAACCTGCAGTTGTCATTCCCTGTCCCCCCCCCCCAGCTATCTCTTCTGAGCTAAGCAATGCGTTGTTGAGCGCAGAGTAAGTCCTATAACGACACCTTGCAGAGGCATCCGTCGATGTTCTGTATTTGCATATGGACAAGCATGGTCAACGGAAGCGTTCCACTGTATTACTTCTTCAGTTCCCCTTTTGTACAGTGTCCATTTTATTGCCACTTAATATTTGGGTGGGTGGGTTGGCTTCACAATGATCTTTCTTGCCTCCCTTTTCCAGCCAGCAGGTGGGGGGGCGGGTCTCTCCCATCACCCGTCTTTCCTCACAGCCTGCTGGGGATACTTTTCTGGCGCATGTCCCTGCTGACGGGACCCCCCAACCAAACCTGTACAAATCTCCTTCTCAGCCTTCCGTCCAGGTTCCTAAATTCTGTTGAGGACTTGATATTTTTTTTTATTTTCTTTTTTCCCTCTCACTTTTTTGTTCTTCTGTTTCTTGCATGTGCAGTTTTGTAAAGCAAACTCGAAGTACTGTTTCTCGCAGCTCGTCGGTCTCCAGCGTAAATTCACCGTGAGTTGCCCCTCTGTGTACAATATTCAGTCAATAGATTTATGGTATATATATGATATATATGATATATACATAATATATATGATATATAGACACATACGGAAGGAGACCCTCCTTCCACCGGGCGCCCTTCCTTCCTTCCCTCCCTTCTGCTTTAGACATCGGCTTCATGGCGGCGCAGTCGGATGGCACCCGGAGCAGACCAGCCTTGCCCCTCTTCCTGTTTGTGGGTTGCTCCGCAGCCGTTCCGTCGTCGTGTGGCGTCCTGTGTGCCTTCTCCCCTCGCCTCCCTCATCTCTCTGTGCTCTCGCATGATCCTCCTGCTGTCTCTCCTTCGCCCTCCTGCCTCCGCCATCACCTCCTCCGTTTTTGACCTTTGTGATCTTGTTCTATGCCTTGTCTTGAGTCGAAGTGATGTGTTTGGTTCCTCTCTCTTACTCCCATCTGAAGGATTTCTCCTTGCCCTGTTTTTTCCCATCCACCCACCCGGCGATGGTGTCGGGGGGGGGGGGAGCAAGGCAGAAGTTGAGTGAGAGGCAGTCAGTCCCCCCCCCGAACCTGTGGTGCCCTTGTGGGGGGGGGGAAGAGGCTACTGGCATCCCTACCATCCCTAAAAGGGTCGCCATCTTGGTCCTCCTCTTCCTCGTCTGGTCCCTGAGCATTCGGTTACTGCCGGGGGTCTGGGAACCGAGCACGCCTCTCCCCAGAGGGAGAAGGCAAGCGCGGGATGGTCGCCCGCCACTTTCACTGCTGAGATGTTCAGAGAAGATGGCAGAGATGCCGTAGCTGCAAGGCCACCAGGCGCCAGAGGTTGGCCACCCTGACACCAGCCCTGGGCAAAAGAAAGGAGGGATGTTTGGGGCGTTGGTTGCTTGGATGGTTGGGATGAGACCCAAGAGGCCAGAGTGGACCCCGGGGGCAAAGGTCCCCAACTGACCAGGAAGCTGAACTGTGGGCATTAAAAGAACCCGGTTCCCTGGCACGAGACGTGGCGGTCGTGGATGCCCACGTGGGCCGCTGGGAAAAGGGAGTCAGAGGAAGAAATGGAAGTTGGAGCCGTGTATGGTGGCGGCGGTGGCGGTGCCATGCCGCCCCCCCCCAGCATTGAGGCGATGGGTCCCAGCGCTGGGGGAGAGGCGTGAGAGGGTTCTGTTTCACTCCTGCCCCGCTTCTGGTCCTCCCAGAGGGTCAGGGCTTGTTTGGCGTGGGAGCCCTGTGTGCTGGATTAGACGTCCCTTCGGTTGGATCCGGCGTGGCCCTCCTTGTGTTCCTCAGAGCCACTCTTTTTTGGGTGGCCAGTCAGGGCGAGGAGAGTCGCTTCGATGCCCAGTAAACCCGTCTGGTCCGGGGAGATGGCGCCAGCCCGGTCGCTGTGGGGATTGGGACCAGCGGGCAGTCACGCCGCCTCGCCCTGAGCGCTGCCTCGTCCCTGGCGCCTGGCGCCGTGGCCAGAAAAAGGTTAGGCAGAGTCCGTTTGGGAGCAGCCAGCTTGCCTCTTCCTCTCCACTTCCTGTTCAGGGCAGAGGGGGGCGGGAACCCTGCCCGAAAGAGGAGAAAACGCAAGAGGAGGCTGTTCTGAAGAACCACCCACGGCACGAAGAGGGAAGAGGAGACCGTCGCTGCTGCTCAGGAGGACGACGTCCCAGCTGTAACCCCCCCTCCCCATCAGCGAGAATTCAGGGGAGTCAGTCCAGAAGGCCCTTGGCTTGGACCGCTGTCACCTCCGGCTTCAACCGCTCTCCATCTCGGAGCTCCTCCAGCGTTGCAGGCCCAGGCGTTGCGGGCCAGAGTTTTGCCGATGACCCTTTGCACCTCTTCAGGGAGGTGGTGAAAAGTTGCTGAGGATCTTCTCCAGCTGCTTCTGAGGGACCGTTCTACCAGGATGGCTTCTTGACTGTCACTTTCACTCCCTCCCTCTCCCTCTCTCTCAATCTCTCTCTCTTTCTCTCTCATTTTTTGTTTTTTGGAGAAGGACAAGCAGAATCAGCAAAGGTACTGCAAGATGTCAGGCAAGAAGGAGCGAAGGGCAGCCTTCCAGATGTCACGGGACTGCAACTCCCCGGGTTGCTCAGCACGGGCTCTGCTGGCTGAGGCGGACGGGAGTTCCAGGCCAGCAGCACCTGGTGGGGCCCACGCTCCCTAACCTGCTCTGGTGGACGGCAGCGTGGCCAAAGGTGCAAGTGAACTCTTAGAAACTGGAGTCCGTGGCATGTGCTCAGACCCTGATTTTAGAAATGGGATTTAGAAAGACCAAGATGGACCGGAGGAAAAGGAACGAAGAAAAGATCTGATTCCTTTAATCCACCTTTTGAAATGCATTTAGAAAGACCAAGATGGACCGGAGGAACACTCAAAAGGAACGAAGATAAGATCTGATTCTTTTAATCCACGTTTTGAAATGGTGACATTGAGCTACTCTTAAACACATGTTTGAAAGATGTGGTGGTGCTGCGGGTTAAACCGCAGAAGCCTCTGTGCTGCAAGGTCAGAAGAGCAGCAGTTGTAAGATCGAATCCACGCGACGGAGGGAGCCCCCGTCGCTTGTCCCAGCTCCTGCCGACCTAGCCATTCGAACGCATGAAAAAATGCAAGTAGATAAATAAGTGCCACCACAGTGGGAAACTAACAGCGTTCCATGTCTAGTCGCGCTGGCCACGTGACCATGGAAACTGTCTACAGACAAACGCTGGCTCTGTGGGTTGGAAACGGGGATGAGCACTGCGCCCTAGAGTCGGACTAGAGTAAATGTCAATGGGAACCTTTACCTAAACAGAAGTAGAAAGGTCGTCTCTGGATTAACAAGGCTAAGTTGTTGTGTTTTTTTTTTAAAAAAAGGCAGACTGAAGCAAAATGCTTGCCTGTTCTGAAAGTAGATTGAAGCAAAGCTTGGAAAAGTTACTTTTGGGAAATATAACATCACGATGCCATGGAATCAGCCACCGGTCAGACCTGCTCGGCTTTGCGTTGGATTCGGTGGCCCTTCGAGGCCCCTCCCGACTCAAATGATTCCAGGGTTCTTTGAATTAGGGTTATGTCGTGCATGGATTGGACTACTAAAATGTTTTTTTAATTTTTTTAAACAAAGAATAAACTGTAATACGACAGATAAAAAGACAACAATCAAAATCAGCGTAACTAACAACAAAAACATAAGCTCAGTTTCAAATCCAACAGACACCACACCGGCAGTGCTCTCTTCCGCCCTTGGTACAGTACTTTGTTTTTGCCTCCTTTTAAATTTACATTTCCCATTTCTCACCAAAAATACAGTGGACCCTCGACTTACAGACTTTTTGAGTTACAGACTTCTCTGGCTGCAAAATTTAGGTTTGACTTGCAGCCTGAGAATTGACTTACAGACCAGAAAAAAACCAAAATGGAACAAAAACGGCCTGTTACGGGATTAATCGGTTTTCAATGCACTGTAGGTCAATGGAGACTTGACTTACAGACTTTTTGACTTGAGAACCGCCTTCCAATACGGATTAAGCTCTCAAGTCAAGCCCCCACTGTATAATGATTCTCGTCCTGGGGTACATACCCAAATATAGTACCTGTATTAGAAGAACATTCAATATCTCCTTAAAATGATTTACTTTCAATATTCCCTTTGCTAACTTCCAGTTCACATGTTAATTTGTGACTGATAGCCATTTTCCACATTTATTTACGCCAGTCCTGCATATTAAGCTGGTTATTCTTTCAGTTATTCTGCAACTGTTACTATAATAATAATCCCTTTCCGCCCCCATTCTAGTTGAATATTACCAAACATATTTTAAGAAGACTATAATTGGACCCTTTCCTGTAACAATACCTATAATTTCCTTTATCTCTTTGAATGTCATCGACCTTCGGCCCATTTATTTACGCCAGTCCTGCATATTAAGCTGGTTATTCTTTCAGTTATTCTGCAACTGTTACTATAATAATAATCCCTTTCCGCCCCCATTCTAGTTGAATATTACCAAACATATTTTAAGAAGACTATAATTGGACCCTTTCCTGTAACAATACCTATAATTTCCTTTATCTCTTTGAATGTCATCGACCTTCGGCCTCATTTCACCCTGTAACAATACCTATAATTTCCTTTATCGCTTTGAATGTCATTTCACATGTCCGCCTCATATGTACATGTGTCCCCCTTTCTTTCTTACATCTCCAACGTGAGGGTGGTACAGTACTTCATTATTTATTAAATTCAGTTTCACTGGGGTTAAATGACGTCTCCATATTACTTCACAATAATTTTCCTTAACCCCTGCAGACACATTATTCTTTATTCCACACCTTTTTCCACTGGACTACTAAAACATGATCAGAAGATGAGCTTTCAAGTTCTACAGGAGTGTTTGTGAGACTGGACATTATGATGAGAAGGTTGGGACCAGGGAGGAAAAAAAGAAAGAACGTCTCCAAACATCTTGTCGAAACAGGAAGCCACATTTCGGCTGAATATCGGGAAAAATGTCCTAACTGTTAGAGTAGTACGACAGTGGAACCTGTGACCTCGGGAGGTGGCGAGCGCTCCAACGCTGAAGGCCTTCAAGAGAAACTTCAAGACAACCCCCTGGCAGATCTGCTTTGGTTTCTGACTTGTGCAGGGGGGTGGATTTGATGGCCTCAGAGGCCCCTTCCAACCTCGTTACTCTACGCTTCTCCAAAATCTCGAAGTTGCTTTGAGCAGGGGGTTGGATTTGATGGCCTCAGAGGCTCCTTCCAACCTCATTACTCTATGCTTCTCCGAAATCTCGAAGTTGCCGAATCTGTAGCAGAAATAAATAAGTTTGAAGACTTGGAAGGCCGAGGTGTGCTGGCGGTCACGTTGCCTCCCAGGGGCAGTCCTGTCAAGGGCCTTTCTGCACCTCTGTTGACAGAGGTCCCCCAGGGCATTCTGGGAGTTGGAGTCCAAAAAGTAGCTTTTCCAAGGGCTCCACTGAGACCACACCTGGCGCCATTGTTCATCAAGTATCCCTCTTCGGACTTTTCGCTTAAGCCTGACACTTAACAGTAGCTCCAATGTTTAAATAACGCAAAACTCAAGAACTGAGTCCAGTGGGACCAAGACTGAAGGGGAGAAAAAGGGTAGCCTCCCTTTCCTTCCGCTGTCCATTCTCCCCCTGGTCAGCGGCTGAGGAGAGTCCAGGACAAGCGCAGGAGTGTCCGGAGAGGAGGGAGGGAGGAAACGCCCTGTGACAAGCCTGGAAGGCCCCTGGCCTACTGAGAAATCAGTTTGAAAAGTGGTTGAGATCCCTGTGGCTTGATCCAGCCGTTTCAAAGGGTCCTCTAGGTCAGTGGTCCCCAACCTTGGGCCTCCAGATGTTCTTGGACTACAACTCCCAGAAGCCTTCACCACCACCTCTGCTGGCCAGGATTTCTGGGAGTTGAAGTCCATGAACATCTGGAGGCCCAGCATTGGGGACCATCTGCTCTAGGTTGTCCTGTGACTAATGGATCTGTCGTTCTAATTTGCTGCTGTGGCGGCTGCTAGCAGTCGTAGTATTGCATTGACTCTTTCTTCCGTCTCTTGGCTTTTTGATGTTTTCTGCCGCTTTCCTGTTTTCTCAGCGGTCCCTGTCGAAATGTGTTGCTTGCTTCTATGGATCTTGAATCGCCTTTAGGCTTCCCAGAGGGATCCTGTTAAAAGGTCTCGCCTGCTTTTTAATAACTGGGGACTCCCTTGGGAACCGGCTGTCAGTGGAGCAGTTGGTGGCCAGAACCCTCACGGCTCAGGCAGCAGAGGCATTTTGGCCCTCCTGGCGTGCGGGGGCAGGGGGGCAGGCCATGGGCGTTGGCTCTAAAGGCCATAGGCACAGAGCAGCATCTCCTCTGTGGGGCCCAGCCTTGATTTCTCCCACGTTCTGTCTGTCAGGACAAGGTTCTCCTTTCGGCGTAGGCTGAGGGATCAGCCTGGAGCTCGGCCACGGCCTCAGAGCAGCCCAAACGTTCTCTTTTAATCTCGCCCCCACCCCCACCCCAAGTCCATAGACTACGTAAAGGGCCTCCCAACAGTTCATCGTAAGGGCATGAAGGGAGCTGCATGTGCTCATGCCGTGGAGGGCGTTCAGAACCCATCTCGTCTCTCCTGGAAGAATAGGGGGAGGCTTGGCTTCCTGCCCGTTTAAACCGGTAGGCAGCTCTTACGACCAAGGCCAGCAACTCAAGAGAAAAGGGCTTGGGAGACGAGGGAAGTACGGTTTTTGGACCATGAGCAGGGCAGTCGGAGGAAGGACGGGCAAAGAGGGGGCGAGGTGGCAAATGATGGCCTTTTTTTTGTATGGGTTGGCTTTCATTCATGGAGTGTGACCTGCAGACGTTTTGGCCCTCCACAGCAGTTGACTCTCCAAACCGCTGCAAAGGGACAGATTCATCTTAGAGTTTCCCTTCCAGCTTCACCTGCATTTGTGTATTCGTCCGGCTCTTCTGTCCTGCCCTTGACCCTTTGATTTGGCTGTCTTTAATCACCTCTTGAACTTTGATCAACTTCTCGCCGATTTAGGCCCCAATTAGATGGTAATGACCTCTTCCTCTCTGTGGCTTTCCTCCCTCATTCCCATCTTCTGCTTCTCTTTCCTCCCTTCCTTTCCATTCCTCCCTCTTCCTCTCTCCTGTAGCAAGCAACAGAACTCTTCCAAATCTAAATCGGTGTGGGAGCAGAGGACCAGCCAGATTCGGATTAAAAACCGGGCCAGCTGTGAAGCGCTCTACAATGAGTTGGATCCGGAAGAGCGCGTGCGCTATGCCACCAACCTGCACATCCGTCCGGACATGAAGACTCATTTGGACCGCCCCCTGGTGGTTGAACCAAGGAGCGATGGACGCAACAACCACGTCAGTAAGCTAAGCCCCGTTGATGTGCAGGAGGCACCAGAACAGGGGAAGGCTCCTGCACCCGAGGGTGCCGAGGGAGCCCGGAGACACCACCGACATCGAGAGAAAGACAAGGGAGGAGAGCACGAAAAGATCAGCCCGCCCAAGGAGGAGAATGGGGAATCGGGCCCGAACCATAAAGAGGAATGCCACCGTCCCCACCGGAGCCGCAGCAAAGAGGGCGAGGGCGGCGGAAGGGAAGGGAGAGGGGAGCACAACCGAGGTCAAGAGGGAGGTCGCCGGCATCACCGCCGTGGCTCCATGGAGGAGGGCGCCGAGAGGGAACACCGGCGCCACCGTGGCCATCGCCACTCAGCCGAGCGGCAAGGCAGGGAAGGCAACGGGACGGTCAACGGAGCCAAGACGGAGCGTCGTTCGCGGCACCGAGGAGGCTCCCGGCCGGGGAACCGGGAAGGAGAGCCGGGCTCCAAGGGAGAAGGCGGCGAAGAACCCCACCGTCGGCACCGGATGAGGCAGAAGGCTCTCTCGACCTACGAGTCTGTCGAGAAAGAGAACGGGGAGAAGGAGGGCGAGCTGGGGGACAAGGAGCTGAGGAATCACCAGCCGAGGTGAGCCGGCCAGGGGGCTCAGCTCGGCCACGGGGAGGGCACCGCTTTGGCAACGCCACCCTCTGGAGGAAAGGGCCTTGGGTTGTGTGTGTGTGAGTGGAGGCAGACACAGAGAGATGGAGAGAGGGGGTTGGACCTTCAGATGCAAACTCTGTTTGGGAACAAACGGATCCTCTTGAGCCACTGCTGCTGCTGCTGCGGCTGCTGCTCAGAGAGGATGAATGAGGCGAATGTCTGCATGTTGGTGGCCTGGCGCCCCCTGCAAGGGCATGTTCTTACTTGGAAGGGTCCTTGAGCTTTAGTGATGCACAGGAGAGCTCTTTGCTTTCCACAAGCAATTAATTAATCAGCAGGACCCGTGAAAGATCCTTTGCTGTGCGCTGCCTGAAAACCCCCAGGCTCTGATGGCTCCAGGGCCCCTGAACCCACGCCCACCTCTTCCGTGCGGTGCCTGCAGGCTGCTCCTGAAGCAAATCCGGTTCCCACCGAACATTTCCTGAGCCTTGGTCGGGAATCCTACAAGGCCAGTCCATGTGGGTTCTTCTGGAAAGTGGCGTGAGCGTGAGAGCCCCCTAGCCTAGGAGCAGAACCCGGAGGTCTTCACGAGAGGGTGTGAAGCTCTGTGGGAAATGGCGGCTCAAGGACCGGCTCTGGGGCAAAACGGGCTGAGGTGAAGCCAAGCGATCCACAGATCTGGAAAGCGCTTGGTTCTGGAGTAAGCGGGACGGTGAAGACGCACTAGGTTGCAGGCCAGACTCCCAAAATCTGCCCAAGGGTTCGCCTCTCTTGGAGGGATCGGGCTTGGCACCTTGAGCAACGCTTGGAATCCCAGGTGCCCGATCACCCCAAGGACCTCTGGATTGTTTCAAAGGCGGTTTCCAGTCCACCGCCAAGAATACCCTTAGAGAGCAAGCTTCGAGAGCCTGTGGGGACACTTTTCTGGCCCCTGGACTCTGCAGGAGATGCAGCGGCCCCTTCAAGGGATATTGAAGAATGTCTTAAAGGATGGGGTGGGGGTGGGGGTATGTGCTCCACCTGCGCGGCAGAGTCTGGCCCCTCTTCTGCCTCTCCCGAAGACCCGGTGAAATGCCTGGTGCAAGCGGCTTTTGTCCTGAATCCCTGCTCTCATCCCTCAGGGCAGGCCCAGGGGAGACAGAGCCTGGCGGGAGTGTGCCTGTCGCACCTCTGCACACCTTGCCCAGCACTTGCCTACAGAGGGTGCCTGAACAGCCAGAGGATGCTGACAACCAGAGGAACGTCACTCGCATGGGGCAGCCGCCTCTGGACAAAACGGCCACGGTGAACATTCCCGTCACCGTCACGGCTCCTCCAGGGGACACGGCGGTCATCCCAAGTGAGTACCTCCAACTGGGGAAGCGGTCCGTCGGCAGGTCAGAGCCTATTCCATCCAAGGCTCTCCGTTCTGCTCCAAGTGGCTTCTCCCTGAGCTGCTAGCTCGCCCGTAGAGGGAACCTTTGGCCTCCCAGACGCTGCAGACATCAACCCCCATCCGCCCCACCAGCCTGGGCCTCCGGTAAGGGACGATGGCGGCTGTCGGTCAGAGCCTCTGGTGGGCTCAAGGGTCTGCCCCCACCCTACCCGACCTGATGGGAGGGCAGCCCATCTGATAGTGCTCCGAGAGCGCTCACCCGAGCGTGGGTGACGAGGAAGAAGAAGGGTCACGGATGTTCGGAGAGGTAGCCTCGTATCTCTCTCAGTTGCCGTCTCCAAGTAAATCTTGTAAACTTGGTGTGGGTGGTAAGTGGGAGGGAGCGCCCCAGCCGTCTCCCTTTGAGTCCTTCTTTTCCGATTTTTTGGCCACTTGTCAGCCCTAACAAGGACACCCGCCAGCCTCGTGTAAGGAAACGGGCTTGGTTTCACTCTACACCTCTTGCCTTCGGGGGCGAAGCTAGGCTATGTTTCCCAGGGGAGGCACTTGCCCGGCTGGAGTGCGGCTGCAGGGAGGTCCCGGCTTCACTTTTCCACCACGGCAAACTCTGACGACGGCTCGATGGGGAAGGAGCTTGATTGAGGGACGTGCCCCATCTGGATCGAACCATCCGGTCCGTCCTTCTGTGCTTTCCTTTTGCGGGCACATTTGCTTTGCTTCAGAAGGACAGACGCTCTTGCCAAGCTATGCACGGATAAGTTCTGTGCAAAATGTGCATAGCTTGGTAAGAAAAGGGGGTGTGGGGGGGAACCCCACTTGTCTCGTTCTCATAGTGGAGGATGCGAAATCTGAATGTGAAGTAGGAATTTCCTCTCGCTTCTGGCGCGACGCACGTGGGGATGGTTGGTTGCCCTCTTAATTGGTGGGAATTAAGTCAGTGATTTGGCTGTGGGATCCCAAGCAGGTTAAAAGCTCCCATTTAGAGGCCTCTTTGCTTTTCCCGACACCACAGTAAACAACGTTGATTTTGAAACTAAGACAGAAGAGAAGAAAGACATGGATGCCGATAACGACTTGACAGAAAATGGACCCAAACCAATCCTGCCTTACAGCTCTATGTTCATCTTAAGCCCGACCAACCCGTAAGTCATCTTAGCTGCTTTACTCTTTTCTTTTTCTCTCTCAAACTTAGCCCATAGTTTAGAAAATGGCCTATGCTGATTGAGGAAGCCACACTTTGACATTGGTTCTGTTAAACTAATATTGAAGCTTTCTCCTCCTACAAGAAGATGAAAGGCGTGCCGAGTGAGATCCATCTCGCCCAGTGCTGATGACGCCAAGGGAGGGGGGGGTCTCTGTCCCATGAACCGAGCCCAGCCTGTGGGGTGGAAAGAAGAGACCCACTTTTCCAACTGGGAGCCCGGATGCCCCACAGAAGGGTCCCACTGGTTTCTCCCCTAAGTGGGCAGAGGATGATTCAATACCCCAGTCCCATCCAGCATGGTCGTGATGGGAATTAAACCTCCCTGCGACGGGTGACCACACAGACCCGCTGAAGTCGTCCAGGATGACAGGCAGAGCAAAATTCCTTTTCTCGCCATCTGCTGACTGGCTAATTTTAACTGGAGGTTTCAGAGTCAGAACCAAGAACATTTTGCACAGAGAGCATTTGGCCAGGCACTGAAGTTACAGCTCAGAAAATCTGTCACTCTCTGTGTCTCCCACATTTCTTCATTAGAAAAAAAAGCCCTTCAGGTTGTTTGTATCCTAAATACGTAGGTGTTGCATTTTGTCAAGTTTTCCCAAAAGAATCGGAAACTCCTTCTCACCTGAGCTGAATTTTCAGAGAGGTTGGGAGTGGTCAAGCCGGGGCGCGGGGACCCACACAACAAGCGTGAGGCGGGTCTGAGCCGTGGCCGGTGGGCTTCCCCTCCATGCTTCCTGCAGTAGCGCGGATGCCAGCGAAGCAGTTCTTCCTTGCGGCTTTTCTTTTCCTTCCTGGTTTGGCCTCTTACAGAATCCGGCGGTTGTGCCATTACATCGTGAACATGCGTCACTTTGAGATGGTCATCCTCTTTGTCATTGTGCTCAGCAGTATTGCGCTGGCTACGGAAGACCCTGTTCAAGCGGAGTCCCCGAGGAATGAGGTAAAGGATCTTATTCTGTCACCCCGTCTGACTGGGTTCAAACAGGGATGAGCATCGCTGGTAGGCAGGCAGAGAACGCTCACGAAATTCCTCATTGGCCTTGATTAAGCTCCCTCGATGCAGTAAGGCACATCAGGTGGCAAAATCTGAAAAATCTCAGCTGAAGGCGAAGGTCCTCACCTGCAGCTCAGAGCGGGGCAGGCCACCCTTTTTTTCCTTCCTCCTGGTCTCTGTAATTTGCATAAAACATCTCTAGTGTGCTTTCCATTTTTGTGAAGCAACACACACGCTGGTTTGTTAAGAAAAATCTCAGCAACCAATCCAGTGCTTCAGATTTTGACCTGGGGAGAAGGATAACGCAGTGGGTCAATAAATGATCTCCATCCTAGGTTTAAACATCAGCTAAACATCCCTTTTCAGACTGCAAGGGGGGGGGCAAGTTTTGTAAGAAGGATCTGCCTTACGATGCCCCACATCTGCAGTCACTGTACAGATGTGGGGCATACCATGGAGTGAATCTGTTCCTTCTTCTTCCTTCCATAGCCACCTTATTTAAGCCTCAAATGCTTTGCCTTGGAGTCAGAATGTAAACGGTGCCTTTTGCTAAGGGCTCGTTAAAGACAAACCAAACAAACTTCTCAGTTGTCTGTATTGGCCTGATTTGTTAGTTCCGGCTTTTCCCAACCTGTCGAAGTCACATTGCGGCATGTTAAAAATGAGAAAGCCGTCTAGAGGGGGAAACGTGGTGGCCAACCCACTGTCGGCCCAGAAAACATTGCACAGAGCTTTAGGTCCATTCTTGGCTGAGTTGAATATTCAAAGCCCTGACTCCATAGGGGACAAGTTTAGGTTTAAGTAGCGCAATTCATGCTGAAGGACCACAGTGACCCATCTCCTCCTCTCGGGGGTTGGCCATAAACTCTCCAGGAAGTAGAAGAGGGCTGATAGGGACACCCTACTAGAAGAAAACTCTGCATCCTCCTTAGGTTGCCGCACACAGAGCTACAGCAATGAAAGGAAATGCCAACTCTGTCTTCTGTGGAAGATCTCCACTCCTTTCTGTTCTCTGCATCCTCCTTAGGTTGCCGCACACACAGCTACAAAAGTGAAAGGAAATGCCAACTCTGTCTCTAGTCCAGATCAAGTCCACTTTTAACGTCATGTAACTTTTGGACCTTTCCTTTTAATTTTAGGCTCTCAAGTACTTGGATTATATATTTACAGGTGTCTTCACGTTTGAGATGGTCATAAAGGTAAGCAACTCTCTGCGGTACTCGTCAGGTAGGAAGAAGGGGGGGAAGAGGAGGCAACGGAGGAGTTGGGCTTCCTCCGGTCCGCCCAAGAAGTGGTTGAAAAGGGCAGGGAAGGTTAGGGTTCGATTGAAGGTTAGGCTTGATGGGCCCATTGAAAAAGAAGTGGGCGTTAGGGTTGGGGTTCACATTAGGGTCGAGTCTATGTCTAGGGTGTGCGGTTGACATAGCAGCTAAAAGGGAGCGAGGGTTAGAAGGCGAAGGTGTGGCGATGACTTTTAGCAGGTGGCTCAGTATGCCAACATTTCATGCCTAAGGGGATTTCTTCCTTTGAGGCAACTCACCTCCAGAAAGTTACGCTCTTTGCCTAACAGAGCACCAGGATTTCAGCCAATTTCTCTCTCTCTCTCTCTCTGTCTCTCTCTCTCTCTCTCTCTCTCTCTCTCTGTGTAGATATACTTTCTCCTGGTGTGTGTGTGTGCGCATGTGTGTGTGTGTAGATATACTTTCTCCTACAATTTAGATTTTTAAAGGATTTCTCAAGTTCTTTCCCATTCTAAATCTGAAGATGTTTGCATGTATTTTGACCCATGTGATCAGGGATAAACCGAAACGGAATCCTTTCCTTGCCATATCTTTTGCTCTGCATCTCTCTCTCTCTCTCTCTCTCCAGATGATTGATCTTGGCTTGCTGCTTCACCCGGGGTCCTATTTCCGAGATCTCTGGAACATCCTGGATTTTATTGTGGTCAGTGGAGCTCTAGTAGCATTCGCCTTTTCGTAAGTAGTTTTTTTCCCCCTTGACAGGCTCTCTTTGTCCAAAACTGCCAGGTGGGGGAAACTCTAATGTTGGAAATGCCACTGGTTGTTTTCCTGGAAATGTGTCTTGAAGTCCACAGTTCCTCAGCTCAGAAGGGCGGTCAAGTCTCAAACACTCTGGAGTGTTTAGAATAAGAGGTTGAGACACAGGTGGGAAAGTTCCTTTTTCCGGAACACAGCAGCCAGCATGGCCAGTGGCGACGCGGGCTTCGATGTTTTGAAGCCGCGTGTCAGATAAAGTAACTTCTCTGACCTCTGGTTTGAGCAAGTCTGTGCACTGCTTCTTAAATACCCTCTTCCCCACCCCCTGCCCAAACACACTTGTGTGTTCTGGTTTCCCATGACAGGCGGGAGCACGGGGTGTCTTAACAAGCCTTTGTGTTTGGATAAAACTGAAGAAGAGCCAAGCTCCCTCTTCCGTAGGCATCACCGTGCTTGTTCCTTGAGAGTCGGACCAGAGCTGTATGAGGGCGGCCAAGCCCTCGCAGGTTTCCCGGATCTCTTGATCCAGCCCGGTGGATGAGCTGCATGACCACAAGGCTGCTGTTCGGGTGGTGGGGCTGCAGAGCCTCCAGGACCCATCGGGCCAACGGTTGCCTGGCAGTTCTTGCAGGTTGCCACAGGGGGTAGGAGAGGAAGGAAGCCCCCCCCCGTGCTCTGCTGAGAGGTCTCTGCTCCTGTCTTCCGCCTCCCTACTTCCAAGTCCCCGGGCAAGCCCCTTCCGCCTGAGGACAGGCCAGGCTTATTTTCCTGCATTCAGGGAACTGGGTCTGTTGTCCTCGAGTGTCCGGAGAAAGTCTCCTGCGCTTGGTTATGGCACCGACTCCTTGGGAGCAGTTTCCCCTTAACTGCTCTGGGGAACCGGCTTCCCCGACCGTCCATCTTTGGCTGTGCCAGTGGCGGTTCCTACATCAGCGACTTGTGCCGTGTTGTCACGGGTGCCTCGCCCGTCGGGCCTTTGGGGGGGGGCTTTGGGCCAGATGCTCTCAGAGTGGAAATCTGCAGGGGCTCGGTCATCTCATCCTCTGCCCAGCGAGAGCTCTGACTGGAGGCGAGCTTATCCTTCGACTCCTGGGCCGTGCTCTCTGGACACACATTAGTCTTCCTCTAATACAGTACAACTAAAGGGAACTCTGTACAATCCTCTCAACACTATATGCGATTATATAAGGCAACTTACGATGATACGTTCACAAATCAATGTAACCAGTAAGCATATATAGGCGTAGCAAAATAGCAAGTCAGTGTCAGAACAAGACACATCACAACTCAAATATATCTTCTATCCAGCATGAGGTGAAAAACTCCCAAATATAATAACAATGATGTCCTTGGATAATTCCTGACAGGATAAGGACTCAGCGAGCCCCGAGCATCTCGTCCAGTCCCCCTTGCTTGTTTTGTGGTGTATGACTTCTTCATGCGTCTGTCCCTCCCGTGTGCAGATCTCTGGGGCTAAAAAATTACAGCCAACTCCTACGTGCCAAAATGCAAAATCACACGACCCCAGCGCCCAGCCGTAGAGGAATTCCCCAGATCATCTCCAAAAAGCCCTTCGTTCCCTTGTTGCCGTTGTACTTTCACATCCTCCACTTGAGAACACTCCCGAGAGATCAGCTTACCTGTCTTCCCTTGTGCCGTCCCTGAGAGAAGTTCTGGAAGCCGCCTGACCAGCCGGGTCACAAACGCAGCAAGCCCAGAGGGGTGAGGATGGAGCCCGGTCAGAATTTCGACCGGTTGGGCTTCGTCATCATAATTTGGAAATCCAAAAGCACTTTTTTTGTTGCAGACTACAGTACGTCTGTCTAGCCACATGATAGGACAGGTTTGAATGCTGTTTGTATATTGCACAAAATCTAGGGTCATCCGGGGAGTGATTTTCAGAGAATGTTTTTTTATGTTGACTTGTTATTATGCTACACATATACAATATATGCATACTCGTTATATTTGTTTGTTTGTTTGTTTGGCTTTTATACCACCCATCTAGATGAATCTGCTCTGGGCTGTTTACAGTCCGAAAAGCAATAAAATTAAAAACATCAATAAAACAAGCAAAACATAGCCCAAGATGGAAAAACCAGGGGAAGAAAATAAGTAATGTCAGGCAGGAACACATCATTGTAAGTTGCATTATATAATCACGTATAGTATTTAACAGATTGTACGGAATTTCCTTTAGTTGTACTAGTTCTGTTCCATACTCTCCTTTTTGTGAAATGCATCTTTCCCCGGCAGTCGTGGCACCGGGAAGCAGAGCCGCCTCAGTTAGAAGCACCAGCTACTACGGCCATGAAGCCTGGCTTCTCGTTGCCCGAAAGTGACACTTCTACAAATCTCCTTGATTCGGTGGTTTCCTTCCGTTGGGGGGTGGGGAGCAGTTGGGATCAGTCCCTACGAGTCACATGGAGAAGGCTAAAGCTGACCATCACCGTCATTTATCAGAACAAGCTTGCAGAGTAAATTAATGGGCTCCAGAGGAATTTGGGGGCCATGTACTGTCTGTTTACTAAGCCTTAACTATTTCCATGTCCGTGGTGAATGCCAGAGGCAGATTCTCCACTCTGTTTGGGGGGGTATTGAAACTCAAGGCACCACAATGCCAAATTGTTTCAGGGAGATGAGAAATATCCCACAGTTTCTCAGACATGGGGCTCACCATTAACAGGGGTAGCAGCACCACTTTGGCGGTGTTTTGCCGCCACTGCGTGAGCCGTTTGGATGTGAGACTCTGGGAGGGCGAGATCCCGGGGAGGTCGTTTGTTGCCCAGCTTTGCTCCAGTGAGCCTTGAGTGGGACTCCCGTTCCCAACACCTTTGCGAGGTAGGTCCCAGCATCCCCAGTGAATTCCACAGGCCGGGAAGAGCTGGTGGTCCGGATCTTCCTCTTCGCGCCCACCACTCTGCCCTCGGTCCTTTGCTCAGGGGCTCTTAGGGGCAAAGACTCTACAGAGTTTCTAAGGACAGGGAAGAGCACCTTTCCCCGCCTCTCAAAAAAAGAACGGGAGGGTGTTTGTGGTGTGTCTTGTGCTCCCAGTTGTTTCGCTCCCTGTTGTCTTTGTGCAGAAGAAAAGGAGGGGTGGGAGGAGGGGGCTGAATGTCGCCGGTTCCGCCGGTCTGCTGTGAGATGCCTGCCTCGCTCTGCTCTCCTTCCTTCTCACTGACACTTGACTCTTTCTTTGTCTTCCTCGCACTGGGATCTTCTCTGTAGGAGTTTCATGGGGTAATGCACTGTTGTTTTCCCTTGCGCCACCGCCGCCGTGTCCTTGCCTGCCCTGGGTCCAGGGCCGCCCTCCCCATCGACCGTGTTGGGGCCATTTCATTGCCTGCCCTCTGCCTGTCTCGCCAATCACCACGGCCTTCCTTAACAACCAGCCCTTTCTGTCATCAGGGCCCGTCTTTGCTTCAGCTCAACTAACATCGCGGCACAAAGCAATGCCCTCTGAAGCTGCCCTCTGTGGTTCTTTTTTCGGCGCGATCTAACCACAGAAAAGACTGCTTGAAACAGCAGCAATAGGTCATCCCTGGCACGTACCGTTCTGGAGTCAGAGAAGCCCTGTTCAGGCATTCCAAAAAGTAGGAGCAGGGAGAGAGAGTTCCAATCCTGCTCTTCACCTGTCCGTGTGAAGGAGACATTCTTAAGAGGAGCCAGTCTGCCGCCCGCGGGGGTCTCTCCGTGCAGTTAGAAACCCTGATTTATCAAGATTCCCAACTGGATGGAGACAGACGCTATAAGTAGCTGAAGCTTTATTCCTTGTATAATCCCATGTCCCAGCAAGAGATAGGGCAGTCTCCCTGCTCACACTTTCAAGGAAAGCCTTTTAAAAACACACGAGTAGGGCTAGAGACATTTCGACGGTCTCTGGGGGAATCCAGTCACTCGCCTGAAAGCTTGTTAGAGCTCTCCAGTGAGACCAGTGTGGGTGGATGGTGGATTTCCCCGGAACACGTTCTTATGCATGAATTATGGGGGATGGTTAGTTGTGTTGTCGGGTGCATGACTGACATTCCCCCTACGATGCACAATTTCACAGAACGGTGGTTCCTAGAGGTGTCCCCTGACTTCCGTTGAAGTGAATCTGAGATCTAGCTCCAGAACCTAGCTTCAGAGTTGTCTGCGGTGCAGGTGTTGTGTGTATCTTCAGCAGGTGGGACAAGGAAGGCCAGAAAACCTGTAGGCTAGGGTCTTGTGACCTAACAGAACCATGTTTGGTTTTTGATTGAAGAGACTGTAGGAGTACTTATGCCACACAGAAACCTCCTGTTAGAGGTTACACCAGACTGCTTTGCTTTCTGAAGAATCACACCTCACGTGTTCTAGTCCAGTGTTTCCCAACCTTGGGTCCCCAGATATCCTTGGACTAGAATTCCCAGAAGCCTTCCCCACGAGCTGTGCTGTCCAGGATTTCTGGGACGTTGTTGTCCAGGAACCTCTGGGGTTCCAAAGCACTGTTCTAGTAGAAAAGCCAAGTTCACGCTAAGAGTTTGTTTCAAAGATGATCAGCATCCCATACTTTGAAATCATAAGAATATCAGTAATCGTAAAAAAATAATAGTCATTACAGCAGTAGCAAACCACACAATACAGCAATCCATGGATTTCATATGGATGTCCCAAGTATCATAAAATGGTGCTTTGAAAGTGCTTGGACATCTGCTTGCTGGGAAATCTTAGCTCATCCTCGGCAGAGTTTGGAAGTCTGCTCAGAAAGGTGGATTTTCAGCACCTGGGAGAGCGACCTGGTGGCGGCATCGCCTCTTCTGTTGACCCATTTGGGATGCAGAGAAGCGTAAGGTTGCCCCTGCGCGCCAATACCGGAGAGCTGGTGCCTCCTGGTTACGAAAGGAAGCTGGTCCAGGGGCTTCCTTCTTTTCTCCCTTCATCCCAGATACAAAGATACGGTGGGCCATTGAGTAGTGGAACGAGACGCTTCAGAAGTGGAAGACTAAGGACCAGACCAGATGTTCTAGATGGCCCCATGTCAGAAATTCAAAACTGTTGTCGCCTCCCCCACGTTGCCTGAGATGTGATTTAGAGAGACCGCAGTGACCGAGTCATAAGCATGCCAACGTTTATTTACAGTCACAGAACAAAGCAAGCCGGTTTCCTAGACAGGAAAGGTGGAAATAACTCCCACCGTGACCATCACACACGTTGCAGTCCTTGGCAAATGCCTTCCTCGCTTGTAGCGTAGGGTTTGGCTCTGGAATCAGCCAGTGGTTGCGTTCAGGCGTTGAAATCTATTGGCCCAAGTTGTGTAAGGGTTCAAACCGTCCCTGAGGGCAGCTGCACAAATGCCCGATTGGTTTCCAACTGTTGGATTATATGCCCACCCACCCCTGCCTTCCTCCCCACTTGACGGCCGGCAGTTCCATCTCTCCCAGGAGGAAGAGATGATGCCTTAACTGGATGGAGCAATCATCTGTGCCTGGGAAAGGGTTCCTGTCACCTGAAGAAGGCCGTACTCCATATCTGTGGGGTCTCTCCCTCAGTCAGATGCCCCATTTTCCGATTGACCAGATAAAGATCTGACAACCGTTAAAAGAGTTACGATGAAGGAAGCAAGGCTGCCTTGCTCCCCTCCTCATGGGTTGTGTTTATTCATGCTCACTGTAAAATAAGGGGTCCAGGCGTGGAGGTGACCTCAGCATGGCTCTTTATTTGCAGGAGACACAACAAACAAGCACTTATGGCAAGCTGCCATATATTTACTCAAACCTTCCCCGAAAACAACCCTCCCCAACTTTCAGTCACTCAGTAACCAGGCCCCACAGTTAGAAACCTCTTCCCCCCCTTGGTCCCCCCCCTTTCTTCCTAGTTCGTAGGAGGAACCTCGTTGATGGGCTCAGCCAGCGCAGCCCGTCTCAGCACTGCTGCAAGTGGCCTGCCACTGTTTTCTGAGCCGTCCACACAACCCTCAACTGGTCTCCAAGGCGTTTGTGACCCCAGGAGCTTCCTGGCTGTCAAGGAAACCTGAGGGCCTTCCCAAAAAGAGGGGGGGGGGTTTGTTCCTACCTTCCTTTCTTCCAGCCCGCCACCAAATCTGTATCTCTCCTTTAACGGAGGACTCTAACGTGGCAGACGTTGCCCCTGCATTCTTTCTTTCTTTCTTTCTTTCTTTCTTTCTTTCTTTCTTTCTTTCTTTCTTTCTTTCTTTCTTTCTTTCTTTCTTTCTTTCTTTCTTCCTTTCTTC